GGCACTACAATCTGTGCAGGAACCACAATCTGTGCAGGCACCACAATCTGTGCAGGCACCACAATCTGTGCAGGCACTACAATCTGTGCAGGCACCACAGTCTGTGCAGGCACCACAGTCTGCAGGCACCACAGTCAGTGCAGGCACCACAGTCAGTGCAGGCACCACAGTCTGTGCAGGGTAGGATTTGAATCCCCCCTCCCCCACACAAACACACAAAAGGATCCCTTACTAAGGATGAAACTGTGGTCTCCTGCATGAGGACCCAGTGCTATAACCATTGGGCCAGCCAATCAAGATTACATGAAAGCTGCAAAAGTGTGGCTCTGTGGAGAGATGAATGGAGGCTGGTGATGTCTGCACTAATGAGCCTAAAGTCCTTGGAATGCTAGAGTTCCTGTGTGGCTCTGTGGAGAGATGAATGGAGGCAAGTGTTTTTTGCAGTAATGAGCCTAAAGTCCTTGGAATGCTAGAGTCCCTGTGTGGCTCTGTGGAGAGATGCTTGGAGGCAAGTGTTTTTTGCAGTAATGAGCCTAAAGTCCTTGGAATGCTAGAGTACCTGTGTGGGTCTGTGGAGAGATGAATGGAAGCAAGTGATGTCTGCAGTAATGGACCTAAAGTCCTTGGAATGCTAGAGTCCCTGTGTGGCTCTGTGGAGAGATGAATGTAGGCAAGTGATGTCTGCAGTACTGAACCTAAAGTCCTTGGAATGCTAGAGTCCCTGTGTGGGTCTGTGGAGAGATGAATGGAGGCTAGTGATGTCTGCAGCAATGAAGCTAAAGTCCTTGGAATGCTAGAGTCCCTGTTTGGGGTTTGGGGCCCCATGGTGGGGGGAGGGGGAATAGACCCACTGCCAAGACATAAAATCAGATTGCTACAGGTACTTCACAATTAGATCTCTGCACTGGCTGCTGAATATTTGGACAGAGTGTTTAAAGAAAGGATTATCCAGACTGCTAGGAGTCTGTTGTTAACTCATAGTTTTTGGAAGATAATTCAGCATATGTAAATTCTTTAGGGACACACTGTATGTTTTTATCCCCAGGCTCTTCTTCAACAGGAAACAGTGACGTTCTGTTCTCTTGTGGACTTGTTCTGTCACTGTTGTTGTGTTCTGTCGGTGGTCACGGGCCAGCCGGCTCAGATTCTGCAAGTCTCTGCCATGAACCTCTTGATGAAGATGAAGACCTTTTTCCCATCTAGAAAACGTAAACAGGTAGATGTGGCCAGGGCACAGGAAGTGAGGCTGGAGTATGAGAGGGGGGTAACAAGTATTGAGGATTACATTGAGTGTGTCGAGGAGGATAGTGTCAAACAGGTATTGGTCACTCAGTTGCTGAATGTTTTACCATAGATCTGAGAACAGGGAGAGATTTTTTTTGTCTTTAGAGAGAGAAATGTTGTGATTGTTATAGTCAGTCAGTCAACAGAGAGAAAAGTATTTTAGTTGTTAAGTCAGCCAGTCAATAGAGAAAGCGAGAGAGAGAGAGAGAGAGAGAAGTATTGTAGTTGTTAAGTCAGCCAGTCAACAGAGAGAAAGGAAGATTAGTTGTTCCACATACACACAACAATATTTTAGCTAACAGTTCCAACTGGGAGAGATAGAGATTGGTTGTTTAGCTAACAAATAAAAAAAAGAGAGAGAGGTTGAGATTGACTGTTAAGCTAAACTGTGAAGAAAAAGATTGAGATTGCTTTCTCTGCTAACCAGTCAAGAGAGAGAGATAGAGATTGATTGTTTAACTAACCAATCAAAAGAGAGAGAGAGAGAGAGGGATTGATTGATATTGGCTTTTCACCTAACCAATGAGCAGGAAGAGATGAAGAGATTGGTTGTTCCATTGTCACCACACACAAATCTTGTAATGTTCACTATTTTAGCAATGAGTTACACAAACAGTCCCATTCATCTGAGTGTTTTGATGTGTGTGAGGAGCAGCTGGCTGAATGGTTAGAATGCTGGGCTCTTAAGCGAGAGACCCGGGTTCGAATCCTCGGTAAGGCTGGGGATTTTTTCTGTTGGGGCAAAATAAAATCCTCACCTGCACAGTCGTGGCGACAGCACTAGCCATGCAGCCGTCAATCCTCAGGCTAAAAGACCCCCCCTGCCTACACCTCAGAAGTGGTATAATGAAGGCAGTGACTGGCAGCTTGCTGAAACTCTTAACAAGTCTTAAGGATGCAAATTTCAGTCCAAAGTTGACAAAGTCTGTTAGAATATGTTCAACTATTGTCTGTTTATTTCACCTATCCTTTATACACAAGAATGTAGGAAAGGTTGGTTCTGTTAAAATAATACAGCCATTCAGTTTTTAATCTCGGTGCTTTGTCATTCACCTTTTTTGTGTGTCTTTTGTGTTTTTTAAATATGTAGTCATCATCGTTAAGACAATGCAAACGCTTGTAATGCCGGATTCGATCCCAGCTGCAGGCCATGCGCCATGCATTGGTTTTGACAGTGGTATCAAGAAAGCCGACCGTCCAGAAAGCAATGGCAAACTACTGTACGCACATTTGCCTAGAAAAACCACACAAGTCCTTGGGGTTGGTTCTGCAACGTCCTGTAAAGGATACGCAACTAACCTGAAAAGTCATCAACGTAGACCCATAACAGCATGCGTCATTAGGTCACCAGTTGTTGTTGACTGTCTGATCAGTTCCCTCCACCTTTGATGTCAGATGCCTTAAACTTCATGGCTGCATGTTTCAGGCCTGTCCATTCAGCCGAGTTCTGTATCCAGGTCTGTCTTAGTCTATCTCTTCTCCTCTACTGAACCATGTAGTGAAAATGCTGGTAGATCTTGTAACATGTCCATACCATTTCTCGGCTATCCTCTGAATAACGGACACAAAATATGGTGGCCAAAAAACAGGGCCTCAGTCACGTGTCAATTGCACACTTTCGGCGACTTAATTTGTGGTTTTCCGGCGACTACCCCTACCGCCAAGAGTTCCTCACGCGGCGTGGATTGGGGCTAAACTAGATGGCTAGGACTCGCGAGCAAAGCTGCAGAATATGCGGAAGCTGCTACTCGTGAGTCCTAGCCATCTAGTTTAGCCTCAATCCACGCCGCGTGAGCGGCGTGGGGGACTTTTGGTGGTAGCGGTAGTCACCGGAATGTCGCAAATTAAGTCGCCGGAAGTGCGCAATTGACACGTGACTGAGGCTCTGTTAGGATGTTTTTACGGCCGCCATCTTTTGTGCCCGTTATTCGGAAGATAGCCCATTTTTCTTTCCATCTTGTCACTGTTATTAAGATGTTCACAGTTGCCGAATAGATCAGCTACATCAGAAAGAGGCAATCGGCATTTCTTTGGTCATGTGATGAGAAGGAGAAAACTGGAGTGCATTGTGAAAGTAGGAAAGTTGGGAGGGGAGGAGAGGCAGAGGGAGACTGAAAGAAAAGATGCTGGACAGTCTGACATTATGGTATGGAGGTTCATCTTTGTCAGAGTTGTTTGAAAGTACACAAGACAGAAGGATGTGGATGGACATGACTACCAACGCCATACAGCATGGACCTTAAGAAGAATCACAGTTTTGACTTCACAGTGAATGGTTCACCCCATAGTCGCCCCTTTCTTGTGCCAATGAAAACCACACATTGTTTTTTGTTCATTTAAAGATCATCTTTACCGCACATCAGACATGACCATAAGTGCTCCAGTCTCCTCCTGAGTATGTCTCCAAGTGTTTTTAGGCTAACAACTCCCATTTTCTTTTGGTTGAAGTAACGACGGACGGCTCCCGCATGGTTTTCCTCTCTGGCTGCTCCAATTGGTAGAGTCAGGGTGTGCAGTCTATTCAGTGAAAAGTCATTTTCCACGAAACTGAAAGCTTCACAACGTTTAGACTCTCGTATAGCATTGATGAGCGGCGTTCGTGGCTAAGGCATTGAGAGTCCAACTTGTAATCCAGCGTACCGCGATCGAAACCCACTGCGGGCTGCGTGGATTTTAATCGTGGTGTGGGACGTCGCAGGTCGACCCAGCTTCAAATGGGTACCAGGATGGCTGTCCTGGGGAAGTAAAGACAGCTGGCGTAATGCTGACCACATTACCCACTGAGTGCCGGTTGGTTTGTAAAAAATATGGAACGCTCTGCCCATATGCCCGATGCACCGAAAGGCGTGAAAAGGGATCTTTACTTTTTACTTTACTTATGGCATTGATGATGTCTCCTGTCCATAGATGCCCATTCCTGATAGTTGCACTGTCAGCCAGGGCATCAGCTCTTTCATTGCCTTTCACACCACACAGATGTCCATCACTGTCCCTTGTTGAATAATTGACACAGACTACTGTATCAGCAGAACCAGTAGCACACACATGCATCATGTGCATAAGGCAGCTATCAGAAGTGCCAACACAGTATGGCACTAGAAATGCAGTTAATCATCATTGCAAGTAGCAGTTACAACAGATCAGTAGTTGCACTCGCAGTTAGTCGCATAAGGCACTAGCAGTTTTTTTGGCAACAGACCACCTGCCATTTTCTGAATCTGCAGTTCACAACACAAACCACAACTGGGCACAGCTGAAATGCATTCCAAATCAAATCTGGAGCTCACAGTGTCGCACCATGTTCTCAGCTCATTAGCTAGGTGGCTGTATTATATCCTTTCACTATACATATGGAGACAACAGCTAACTATTGTCAGAAGTAAATTCTTATCATGACTAAAAACAGTTAACCTATCTATCCACAATATTGGGACAGAGTGCTTATGGGAGTGTCCCAAGTGCTGTGATGTCGATTCTTAATTCATCATTTCATCATATTGACTTTAAGTCATATAAATAATCTGTTCAAGCATAATTTTTTTTCGTTCAAAAATCTGATCTTTTCAAACAAGTAATGTATTAAAATAAGCAGTCTACTGAAATAATCATTCTGTTTAAACGAGTTTATTTAAACAAGGTCCTTCAAATATTATATTTACAGTCATAATATATGCAGTCTGTTTACACAACTTTTATGCTCATCGATCAATTTGCGCCTACTTTGGCCTAGACTTATCGCTGGTGACTGAATCCAAATCCAGTTTATCGTCACCCCGTGAATCTTCAACAGCTGCTTCATCTTCATCTGCCGCCTCGCTGCCGATCATCATGACGTACTTATAGTTAGGCATGCCTGAACGATCCTCATTGTGCATGCGTTCTGTGTGATCAGCTATCACCTGATGCAAATATAGTCACATTCGTTTATTAGTCCTGTTTTTATTTCTGCATTTGAATGTAGAAATTTCAGTTGACCTTTAATTTTTTTTGTTTTTTATAACTGTATATTGATTCCTTTTGGCCCTTTTAAGTCTTTCTTTTTCTGCAGTTGGGAGCTGCCATGGTATAGTGACTAGACGCTCGCCACAGATCGGAAAGTCGCGTGTTCGGGTCCTGGATCTTTATACAAAATTGACCTTGGCTCCCAATTGAACACAGCCTTGAGTGGGTACCAGGTACATTCCTGGGAAGTAAAGGTGGCCAGAGTGAAAGCTAACCACATCACTCACCAAGTGCCGTTGGTCTATTAAATGAAGGTGTAGCCGTATACACCCAGTCCCCTAAAGACGTCGAAGAGGGTCCTTTACTTTTGTATTTTTTTTTTTTTTAAACTTTTCTACAGTTAGTTTTTCTGTTTCTATGCGGAAATGTAGAATTTTCTTTTGATGTTCATTAACCTTTTTTGTCTAGGCTTGAATGTTGAGAATCTCTCTTCTTTATTGGTCTTTCCTATACAGAGATGTAGAGAGGCTGAGTGTGTCTTCCATTTTCTGTTCAGTGAATCAGGCAAGACAGCATCAAGATATTGGATGCACAGCAGTCTCTGAGGGTGTAGGACTTGGGTCAAAGACAGGTTTTTTTTTGGGTTTAAATATAGTGTCCATGATTTGTCATTATTCACTAGTCCACTCCGTACAGTGTTTATGATATCTGTATCTGCTCTGTCCGTTGTTTCTTCTCACATGCATTAGTGCTTTTTAGTTGGTCCGCTTGCTCATTAACCTTTACGCCAGCGTGACCAGGTGTGTAGATCCAGGTGAGGAATGTTTTCTGCCCATTCAGAGTGCATACCGCCTGTTGCTATCTTCTGAAGCATGTTCATTAAATCTGATACAATTACTGCACATGTTGCTGTTTGCTCTGCTGCCCATGCTAGTGCTTTTGAAGCAGTGGCTATCTCCATTGTCATGCTTGACGTAGTTACCTGGTAAGTGCCGCTGTCCTCTTCTATTGTTTTCCCCATGATTTGTGCTGTGTCTGCCAATGCTGAACTTGATCCATGCTTCACGGATCCATCTATGTAGCGGGTGATGTCTTCTGTATGTAAATGCTAATCTGTCAGTGCCTTTACCTCTGTGTCAACAGCCACATGAATCTGATCCCTGCAGTACTCTCCACAGTGTGATGACAACCTTAGAGTTACCGCCCATGTCTACTGGTGTACTCGCCTATTCTTTTACGTGACTGATCTCGTCTAGATCACATACCTGCTGGATGAAATCTTCGGCCTTGGCTATCCAGGAGCAGCCTCTTTTGAGACACATTGTTTTTGTGTGGCGTATAGTTTTGTGCAGTTGGCTCTGTGGCTAAGTCGATGCGAACGCTTCATAATGCCGGGCTGCCGGATTCGACCCCAGCTGCGGGCCATGTGCCTTGCGTTGGTTTCAACAGTGGTATCAGGGGGGCCGACCGTCCAGAAAGCAATGGCAAACTACTGGACGTAAATTTGTCTAGAGAAACCACACAACAGCCAGGGGCAACTGGGTTGGTTCTGCAACGTCCTGTAAAGGATACGCAACTAACCTAACCTATAGCTTTGTGCAGTGGGTGGTTAACGTCTGCCTATACCTTCATGCACATCTTGATCTGTACAACTTTGTATGTTAGCCATGATACTGGATGCACAGCATGTACTTATGACTGCAGAGTCTGTTGTGTCCAGTAATTAATCTAAAGAAAATGTCAGTTTCTTTCATGTGAGGAGGTTAACCGGGTCTTTAGGATTGCATCCTGGATAGAAAGTAGAATGTTCATAATTCATTGCCGTCAACCCTCACTGTGGCGTCGGAACCAGATTTCCATTCTGCCATTTTCTCCTTGGAAAGTTCTAAGCCTTTTTTTTTTTAAAGTGGGCACTGTTGTCTAAACCCATGCATTTCAGGCAACTGTTTGTTGACCCATTCTGCGAAGACGTTTCCACATTGTCCTGCTTTAAGCAGGAGAATCTGCTGCTTCTTCTTTTTTCTTCATCTGTCCTGTTCTGAAACTGTGAAAACCCAGGGAGTGGCAACTTAGCCTCCCAAGGCCTTGAAAACCCCTGGAATTTTGAAAAAGAAACCAAAATCTTTGAAGTGTGTCCACCGTAACTGGGAAATCAAAAGTAAGGAAGGTGATTTGCTGGAGGAGAAGGAGCTTTTGGCTATAATTGTGACCAGGTTATGTGCCTCATTTAAAAATGGCTTAGCGTTGCCCGGCAACAACAAGGGCCCTGAAAAGGACTCCTGACCTGTAGATGTGATCAAAGGAGACAGACCCAGATACCTTTCCGACTGGCAACGAAGTCGTCTACCGGCGAGCCGATTCTGCTGGGAAATTTTTTTTAAATCCAGAAACCATGAGTTTTTAATCACTTGGCTCGGTACTATGGATATCGCAACCCTTCGGCCTTGATTTCGTGATAGATACCGTAAATCTGGGAGAAATGTAGCTTTTCTACCTACCCCCGGGCGTGAACCCGGACCCCAAGGAGTTCGTCACCCGGTTACCGCGAAGCCAGGTTTAGCCAGCTACGCTAGAGAACCGGGCTCTGCTGGGAAATTGACAGTATCACACAGAATGCTTTGCTTGGAACTCGGAACTCAAAAGTTAAAACAGCGATTGAAGAATAAGACACCCAGCTGTGGAATTCGTTACCTTGTTGGTGGTTCGCCGAATCATGTCCCAGGAAAACTTGACGTCCTCAGAATCTGTGTACCTTCCAGAAACCACAAATCGCAGCCAGAATTTGAAGCCGATCCTGGCTCCTGTCATTTTGATGACGGCCGATTTGTTGATCTGTTTCAGAATCTCGTAGTTGATCTTGTTATTGTCTGGTCTCTTGAGGAATCGGCAAACAAATAAACTTTATTTGCAAAGGGATGCAAAATGGACAGGCTTATCTTACAACCCCCCCCCCCCCCCTTTCCAAGCGCACGTTTGAAATATGATATCACAACGTCTAGTTTGAGAATAGAGGTGGAGCCAGTCACTGCTGCCTTTTGCCCGCTTGAGAATCAGCTGTACACACATGCAAATTGTAACTGACTCACAGAGTATGCTGGAGACAGGTATGGTCCGTGCAGAAATGCCAGCATCACATCAGGGGTCCTCGCTAGTTAGCATCCATTGGATATTTTCTCCAAGTCCTGCAGGTGTGTTGGGAAATGAGTAGGCAGATGGGACTGGCTGGTTTTGCACCACTTGGTGGTGAACTGATTTATAATAAGCAAGATATTATGAGGGCCTTTTGGAAGCAAGTGAACATTGCGGAGACACAGACAGATCAATACGGTCTGAGGCGAATGGCGCTGCGGGGAGTTACCAGGGGATCTGGTCGACGCTCAACACTCAAAGTAAAAGCGATAAGGATATACAGACAGGTACTGCTGCCATCGGAATCGGAACTCTACACCTGCTGCTGAAGATGGGGACGGAGCGCTTGTGAGAGAGAGGGCACAGAACTAATACTTACCTTATAGATAGACAAGAAATCAGATGGTTTGGCCTTGTAACAAGATTGGTATTAGACAGGGCACCATAGAGTTGTTTGTTTGTTTGTCTTAGTATCCAGAAGCCATGAGTTGTTAACCCTTAGGCTCGGTATGATGGATATCGCAACCTTTCGGCCTTGACTCCATGATAAATACCGTAAATCTGGGAGAAAATGTGGCTTTTCTGCCTACCCCCTGGAGTGAACCCGGAGCACAAGGAGTTCGTCTCCCGGTCACCGCGCAATCCGGTTTAGCCAACTACGCTAGAGAGACGGGCGGCACCATAGACAGCAATGTTATACAGATACAACGGTAACAGATCTAGAGGTCGACTACGCAGAGAATGGACCGCAGAAATATCAGCGACACAGAAAAGTACTTTAGATGCAGCGAACAGAAGTGCCCGTTCCAGAGATTTCTTCCTACCCTGACGCCGCGAAACAAGACTGACTGACTGACTTTCTACCCCACCAGGACATCACACAAGCGATAAACACCCTTGACACAGTGTGCAACCATGTGGATGAGGATCACCGGGGAGAGGTCCTTGAAACCGCGTTTAGCCTTTATGACCAGGCTATATTGCGGCCCCTGGCAAGAGACGGAGTAGGGCTTCAAATAACGAAAAATTTCATCTTAAAAAGGACGGAAAGTTATATCTAGCCGCAAAACATTCCAGGAGTAGCCTTTAATATACGTTGCACACAGTCGTGCGACGTAGGCTGCATGCATTCGTGGGACATAGGCCGCACCCCTTTTGTGGAATGTAGGGGGGTTGGGGTTAGGGCCAGTTCTGCGTGTTTTGGGGACTGTTAAAAGCGCTCTCATCCTGGAAAATAGAAAATGCGATATCGGCTGCCGGTGACAGCAACGAATAAAATGCTACTTGTTAGTGGCCGGTCTCTAAGCGTGACACGCCCGCAACACAGGACAAGCCCTGCGTCACGGCGATTCGTGAATGGTAAGGGAAGTCACTCTCTTTCTGGGCCCGACTATGTAAGTTCTACCAATCTGAGCACATGAGAACTGGCTCATAAACATCACCATTTCCTGAAAACTAAGGTATTTTTGACCGTGTCAAGCTTCATTGTGGTCTACAGAGAACGGCGATGAAGGGTGCAATTTCTGGAAAATGAAGTAGAGGCAGACCTTCCGAATGTGGATTCAAGATACTGATGATGTATTAGCTCTGATAGCACTTAGGGTTGCAGAATTGGCTAGAGAAAAGGGGGGTTTAGAGGCGTACTGTAACGAGAGCGAGGTTTTGCAAAGGACCTAATGATGATGATGACTGACCTTACAACGAAAGGCTATCACACCAAACATGACGTCGCCCATAATCTCGAAGCGGTGATCTTCCCCGATCAGTTTCTCCAGTTCTTTGGCCCGTCTGACGTCCTGGGAAATAGAATCAAATTAGGAACTAACTAAACATTCAAAAAATAAAGACACTGCTTTCTTTTTTCGCTCCTTACCAATGTTTTTCTTTTCTTTCTGTGAGGAGGCTACGGGTGCTATGAAGCAGTATCCATACTCCCGAACTGTCACTCTGGCAGCAGAACGTGAAAAAAAAATCACGCAAGTGAGCGGTGAGAATATGAGAAGAGAGAGAGAGAGAGAGAGAGAGAGAGAGAGAGGGAGAGAGAGAGAGAGAGATAGATAGATAGATAGAGAGAGAGAGAGAGAGAGAGAGAGAGAGAGAGAGTTTAAAGAGTAGACAATAGTACATGACACCTCCGCAACATAGGAGAGATCCTGCGACGCGACAAGGCATGCATGGGAAGGGAAGTCACTCTCTTTTTGCGGTGAAAAACATTACTTGCACCGGACCGGACAAAGAATCAAAAGTTCAACAAATGATTCATGAAAATTCCCACTGTGTTGAGAGGCAGACGGAGCGCATGGGGGGTTCATAGCAGAAGCGAATGGACGTCGCTTGGTGCAACAAAACATAGCATGTGATATCACAACGTCTAGTTTAAAAATAGAGGCGGAGGCAGTCACTGCTTTGAATCAGATGAACACACATGTCTAAATTGTAACTAACCCAAAGAGCATGGTGAGAAAGGTGGAGACAGTCATGCTCCATGCAGTATGGTAAGCTTCACTTCAGAGACCCCCAGTAGTTATCGTCCTTAGGATAAAGGTAAAGGTAAAGTCGGGAGATGTGAACCAGCGTCATTGCACACGGTTTTAAACCATAAGTGCTCTGCCACCAGTACGGACAGCTGATAAGAATTGTCCGCCTGTGTCGCCGTTCGCACGTAACTCTGTAGCTACGGCGACGTTCCTCCATTTACCCCAGAGTATCACTCTGGTACCCATTTCCTAGAGGCTGAATGAACCCCGGGATATCCTTAGGATATTCTCTCCAGTTGATGCCGGTGTGCTGGACAATGAGCAGACAGTTAGACTGGCCGGTTCTGCGACATATGGTGGTAAACTGATGTATGACAAGCTGGATTTTGTTAAGATCCTTTCGGAGCTAGTGAACAGTGCGGCGGCACAAACAGATGATTACGGTATGAGGCAATTGGCGCCGCGAGGATTTACTAGGAGATCTGGCCGACGCTCAACACTCAAGGGAAAGATGGGACGGATATACAATCAGACAGTTACTGGTGCCATCTGAACTGAAACTCTTTGCTTGCTGCTGAAAATGAGGACAGGGCGCTTATGTGGGTGTCACGGGTGCGTTGATGTCGATTCTTAATTCAACGCGAACAAAGTTTCGAATCCACAAAACACAGTCATAACGTTATTTAAATTGCCGCTAATCACTTGCATCGTGAGGGCTAATAAAACTTAAATTGTTGGGCGGCTGGCCGAACGGTTAGCATGTTGAGCTCTTAAGCTGGAGACGCGGGTTCGAATCTGTGATAAGGCTAGTGATTTTTTTTTTCCTGTCGGGGGCAGAATAAAATTAGTACCCACACAGTCGTGGCGGCCGTAAATTCTCAGGCTTTTGCCTAAACCGCAAAGGTGGTATCACAAAGGCAGTATTTGGCAGGTGTTTCCCCCCCCCCCCCCTCTCCAGGGAAATATAGAGAGAAAAGCAGATAACTGAGACGAAAGATTTTAAAGGGAGACTCATTCCATCTTTCTCTCTATTACGCATTTCCCTTGTAACCTTGTGTACACTGTTTCCAATATAATACATTATAACTAGGGCTGTACCGAATATTCGTTTCGGGGCCGAATAGTGGACCTAATGACTATTTGGTATTCGGCCGAATAGTTGCGGTCGGGTCGAATACGAATAGTGGTTACCTCACACCCGTTTCTGGACTGGTGGAAAATGAACATATCATGATTGGCGAAATAATTAACCAGTTGTCTGACTAACTTATATCTTAATTGATTAAACAATTGGTTGAATTCATTGAGTCATTCATTGTTCTGTTGTATCATTATACGTCACACAGAACTCGCCATCAACGTCTCCATTCCCTTCTATCCTGTGCAATCACTTAACTCTTTGAGTACCAGAAAATGTTACCAGAAAGGCCCATATCTATATTAATAAAAATCTTAATTTTTCGGTGTCGTTAGCTCTAAATTCTGAAACTACTGAACCGATTGCTTTCAAATTTTCACACAACGTTGCCTCTGACTCAAAGCGTTATTTTTTGTCACAAATTCGCACAAACCAAGAACGACGTAGCTCCAGCAACGGTCAAATCATTATTTGTTTCGTTGCCTGTCCGGATTTATTTTTAAAGAATTGGCCACCTTTGACTATGCAACACCGACCGTCACATTTTTATTATATACTTTTATTTCTGTTAAAATGGTTGGGTATTTAGTAGCGTAGTTAGTTGTAAGCATTTCGCTTTTGTTACTCGGGTGATAGGCGTTCGATTCCCTGCAGGGTGATATAATTTTTTTTTTTTTGCCCCTAACTGGGTGGCGGCCACGTTTTGTTGTGGTTTATAGCTAGGCTGCAGTATCTACGCTTTTTGTTCTGTTAGATTTTGAGGTTTAAAGCTAGCCTGCGATAGCGGCGACGTGATGTTCAATGTTCATGTCACGGGTAATATTCGTTCACCCTTGAGAGAGCGGTTGGCACGTTGTGTTGTGGTTTACAGCTACGCTGCGATATCTGACCTAAAGTTTTCAGTCTTCGGTAGTAAAATTGTAGGTATTCCGCCCTTCATGTGTATAACGGGTGTTCGATTCCCCGCTGGGTACTAATTTTTCTTTTTACCCCAAAGGGACGATTGGCACGTTGTGTTGTTGTTCAAAGGTAAGTTACGACGTCTGCGCCTACACCCTAAGACATCCGATTTAAGTACAGTCAACATTAGCCCCCCCCCCCCCCCCCCCGACGCTTCACTCGAACAAAAAATATTCGTTAATGTCAGACACTGTTAACTAAGAAGGCTTACGGTCCAGTTTGGTTTGGGTCGACACGGATGCCAAGGTTAATTAAACATCGTCACTTCGGACAGGGAGACATGACGAGTTATTTCCGCTATTTGTGAGTATAGTGTACATTTTTGTTTTATATCGCGGAATTTTACTGTGGGTTCCATCACTGGTTAGGTGATGGAGTTTTATGTCGGGGACACACTTAAACTAAACAGCCCGTTGGGACAGCATGCGGCGCCAACTCCTCTGGCTACAACGACCTGTACAGACAGTAGTTACCGTTTTGTGTTGTTGTTGTTGTAACGGTGGTGATGGTAATGGTAGCAGTAGTACTGGTATTCGATGGGTTATGTGGTAGCTGTTACACTGGCCACATTTACTTTTCAGTACAGATTAATGCTACCCATTTTTGTTTAGGTGGACACGGATGCCAAGCACAATTTAACAACAATATTTCGTCAGGCGATGACTTCCCCATAATTCGTAGAGGATGACATGATGGGGGGAGGGGGTTGATGCCAGACACTGGTAACTGAGAGAGCTTACAACATTTTTTTACATTTCTCATTTCCTAACTATTTCTATTTTAACAATGCCGCCACATAATAATGCTTCAACGATTCGGAGAGGGAGATATAATTGGGCAGATGCTTGAGTCCTTGGTAGCATAGTTGTCTATTTTGCGTGTTACGTGGGTGACTGACGATCATTGCCCCGCTAGGTGATAAAGAATTTTTTTGCCTTTAACTAAGCGCGTGGCACATTTTGTTGTGGTTTACAGCTAGGCTGCGATATCTACGTCTTCTTTCTGCTCGATTTAGGGGTTTACTGCTTGCCTGCGATAGCGGCAACGAGATTTTGGTCATGTCACGGGTAATCTTCGTTCGCCTTTGAGAGGGCGGTTGAAACGTTGTGTTATGGTTTACAGCTAGGCTGCGATATCCGACCTAATCTATTCAGTCTTAGGTAGTATATTTGTACGTTAACCTCCCTTCACGTGGTTGACCGGTGTTTAATTACCCACTGGGTGCTAATTTTACCTTTTCCCTCAAGAGGGCTGTTAACATGTTATGTTGTGATTTACAGTTAGGCTGCGATATTTGCACCTTTCGCCCAAAGACATCCAATTTCAGTAAAGTCCCATTTATCCTCCCCGCGACGCTTCACTCGATGATAAACTATTCGTAGATGACAGAAGCTGTTAACTAAGACTGCTTACAGTCCAGTTTACTTTGGGTGGACACGGATGCCAAGGTCATTTAACATTCGTCCCTTTGGAGAGGGAAGATGACGGGTGGGGGTTTTTATTTCCGCTATTTGTGAGTATAGAAGGACGATTACTGTGGGTTTTCTTTTTCTTTGTTGGGAGCTCAATTACACTAAACAGTCCGTGGTAACATCATGCAGCGCTAACCCCTCTGGCTACACCGACCTGCATAGACAGTAGTGACTGTTTTTTGTTTTTGTTCTGAAGGTTGTTTTGGTAGTGGTAGCAGTAGTACTGGTACTGGATGGGTGATGTGGTAGCTGTTACACTAGCCAAATTTACTTTTCATTACACATTAATGCTATCCATCTATCTCTGGGTGGACATGGATGTAAAGCTCAGTTCAGTTACAATATTTAGTCAGATGATGACTTTCCTATCCTTCGGCGAGGATGATATGATTAGTGGGGGGGGGGGGGGGGGGGGGGGGGGGGGTTGATGGCACACACTGTTAACTGAGAGAGCTTAAAACATTATTTTAAAGTTATCATTTCTTAACTATTTCTATTTTAACAATTTCGCAAAGTGATGATTTTTTTATTCCTTCGGAGAGGGAGATATGACTGGATAGAGGGGAGAGGGACGGGGGTTGAGGGTTTTGTCAGACACTGTTAGTTGAGAGCTACTTTCTTTCTTTTCTATTTCACCATTCTGGGCCACAGCAAGTATAGAAATAAACCAATAGGAAAAACCACGAGTGTATTTCTCTCACGATACTTAATACTGTGGAATCCAGATTTCTAAAGTGTGCTGTGACCAATAGTAAAAAAGACTAGAACATATTACTTGTTGGGTGGGATTTCCAGAAATAATAATCACACATCGCATGTTGCTCGGGACTGAAAGAGTTAAATATCATGACCAAACCAACCACGGAAACGAATTAGAATCTGAAGATGGTCTCTACTTACCTCCCTGATCTTCTGCTGAAGTCCCTTGACACCGTACAGCTTGAAGACCACCCATATCTTCATGGCGCGAAACCGTCTGGTCATGGGGAGACTCCAGGCCTGGGTTCAGACAATGCGGATTAGTCGCAAACATAGACGCTGAAACCCGACCCCCCCCCCCCACCCCCCCCCCTCACCCCCTAAGTGTTTAGCTAAAGCTGTTTGGTGAAAGCAGTTAATTTTAAACATTACGTCTAACTTAAAATAAAAGTAAACCCGTGTTTCATGTTAGAATGTATGTGTTATCTAGGACGATGTTTTGTTTCCTGGTTAGAAATAACAAGACAGGTTTAGGGTCAGACAGACTTCTAGAGTATCTTCCTCTTCTGCCTTCGCCAATACAAGGGGGTTGACATGTTGTGCTGTGATTTCATCAAGGCTGCGATATCTACGCCTTTCGGCACAAAAGGTATGATTTCAACCCCACCACTCCCCTATGACGTCAACTTACCCTGTAGTCAGCCATCATGTTCTTATCGTCTGGAGGGATGTACAGCGGCCCATCCGGGTCCTCGCAGGCAAAGGTCTGGGTCAGGCGCGAGACTTTCTTCACCCTGTGGGAGACTTTCTGTCAAACCTCAACTTGTTGAATTACTTTCTTTCGGTTAAACCTCATCTCGTTCAGTTACTTTCTTTTTAAACTACAATTTGTTAAATGGCTTTCTGTAACACCCTAATTTGTGAATTAAACTTCCGTCAAACCCGTGACTCGTCGAATTAATCTGTTAAATTTTTATTTTATTATAGAAATATCCAGAAACCATGAGTTGTTAACCCTTTAGCTCGGTACTATGAATATCGCAACCCTTCAGCATTGATTCCATGATAGGTACCGTAAATCTGGGAGAATTTTGTTTGTTTTCTGACTCCCCCCCCCCCCCCCGGGGTGAACCCGGACCACAAGGAGTTCCTCACCCGGTCGCCGCGAAGTCAGGTTTACCCAACTAAGCTAGCGAGCCGGGCAAATCCAGCATTAAGTTAGTTGTTGCATGTCATTTACAGAAAGTTGCAGAACCAACACCCCCCCCCCCAAGTATTATCATTAGATGGCTACTTCAAAGGGTAATTTCTTCTTCTTCTGCGTCAATCTCAAGATGTAAGTGCAGTGTGCCCCTTTACAGCGTGGCTGCGATATTTGCGCCTATCGGCCAACACATCCGACTTCTGTAGGCATTTCTTGACCTGTTTAACCTTTCCGGTAGTAGGCAGTTTTACGTTTGGTAGTTCTTGCCATTGCCCGGAATCTCGATCCCCAGTGTTGAAACCAATGCAAGGCGGTCTGCTACCAAAGCGCCCGCAGCTGGGCCCCAACCCGGCATCCCGGAATTACTGAGTGCGTACGCAACGCCTAGGCTACACACGCTGATGGATAATGTGTTTGAGAGGGGGTGGGGGGTTAATCATCGAGAGAAAGAGACAAAAGTTACTACAAAAACCTATATCTCGCCATTCCCTGGTGGGATGCATTTTTAAAAGTTATTTTGCAGCCCCACCCTGGCTTTTGCAGGGGGGGGGGGGGCCCCAAATATAACCGGGCCTGAAATGGTGAAGCCTAACGGCTAAAGGGGGTTTCCGAGACCTCTCCACGGGTTATCCTCATCTGCAGGGTGACATTTTGTGTCACGGGGTGTTTGTCGCTTCTGTGATGTCATGGGGAAGGGAGAGGGGGGGGGGGGGAAGGACAACTAAATTACCAATTACTACAAACAGATGTAAATAAAAAATGAAGGGGTGCATGGAAGCCGGGAATGGGGATGGAGGAGGGGGGAGCAGAGTTGACAGGGCATTTTCCACATTAGCTACCACCTGACACTTCGTCACTGCTGACAGATGCTGTTTATGAGCCAATTCTCCCCCTTATTCGGATCATGTAGACTGTAAGATGTCGGCATTTTTCTCCTTCTTGGTTTATGGTAAAGTATTTCAGGATCCTCACCGGAACTACGGAGCTCGAGCACAGTATATCTGAGTGTCTGCAAAATGGAAGTATGGCAACCCTTTTTTTTTTCGATAAAAGCCCCGTTTGCTTACATATATATACTCATGGACACATACTTCTTCTACTTCTATCCTTCTGTCAGAAAACTTGTGCTTTATGAAAGCTATCATGCAGTTCATGTCTTATCGTTTTGTCTTCATTGTGGTTGGATCAGGCCAGATTACGTCTCTGTTGTCAAGGAGCACATACTCGGCATTTTCTGGTGCCACACCGCGAGGTCATGTCTCAGTGTTTCTTACATCAAAAAGTCTTACAAATATTGACGAAGTCTGTTGTGGTCTGGACACATACTAGAATGTACCTACCACAGACACGCACAGTCCATGTGTATGGGCATCCATTTGTGAGCGGACATGGAAAAGGAGTCTGCGTACTACGTCAGCAAAACAGGCGCCCGGTCAAAGTTCAAAGAGAGCCAAATTCAGAGAGAGAAAAAGGGGGGCGGGGCGGTAGGGATGTGCAACATAAAGAATAATAGATGAATAACACAACATTATCAAAAATGTTACTAGTAAAACTGACGATCTCTGGCTGAAGTGGCCAAACCTGTTGTCTTTTACGGACATATCGTTCGGTTCACAAGGGCAGCTTTAGATCCCCTAGGATCAACGTTGGAGCTACGGAGCTCATGCTTTTTTGCGACGCTTTCAGCTGGTGGCTAGGCGTTTTGCGGAGAGAGAGAGAGAGAGAGAGAGAGAGAGAGAGAGAGAGAGAGAGACAGACAGACAGACAGACAGACAGACAGACAGACAGACAGACAGACAGACAGACAGACAGACAGACAGACAGACAGACAGACAGAGAAAAAGTCGAGCTTTCTGAGAGGTATTCATTTTTTGCGGTCCAGACTCGAGTCGCGCGACTTAGACTCTTGTCCCCCCCCCCCCCCCCCCCCCCCCCGTGTGGGTTCCGGGGCCCCATTGTAGGGGAAAACAAGAATAGACCCACTGCCTCCTCAAAAGCATGTGGTAAGTCAACTAATTGGCAGCTTCCTTTGAAGTCAGAGTGCATCTGCCGGAGAGGCAAGGAACCAACAGTCTGTATTCAAGAGAATGAGATCTGTAAAACTGATGCACACGCAACATTCAGGTTCTGGAGCAGGACTGCAGTTCAGTAGTAGACGAGCAACCAGAACCTTACGCTAGAGTTTACAGCTGGTGAACGCGAAGAAGAAGACTCTTGTCCGACTTACGTCGCATAATTAACGACTTACGACTGGACTTTGGGTTTGTCCACCAACTCGCGACTCGACTTGCTACTGGTAGCTTTATGACCGGCAACAGTGGAGTCTGGTGATCACAGTCACAGTTCAAAACGTCTTCATATACAACAGGAGAGAATAAATAAAGAAAAAATGTTGGCCAAGAGAGACGCCGGTGTAAGCCAAACTTTACGGGTGGCTGAGTAAATTACAAAAAGTGTGAAGTTCATAATAGAGACAACATTGCAGACATAGATAATTTATTTCAAGCAAACGAAAGAAGAAGAAGAAGAAGAAGAAGAAGAAGAAGAGAAGAAGAAGAAGAAGAAGAAGAAGAAGAAGAAGAAGAAGAAGAAGAAGAAGAAGAAGAAGAAGAAGAAGAAGAAGAAGAAGAAGAAGAGGAAGAAGAAGAAGAAACTTTGTTTCCATATATAAATACATATATATATATATATATATATATATATATATATATATATATATATATATATATATACTTTTAAAGTAATTAGCACACATACACAGTAACAAGTTGACAAATAATAATCTATTTACATTCAAAAACTGCTCACATTAAATAACACAATCATATAGATAGGTCAGTTCACAGACAGAAGCAGGCTGTGATTTAAACCCTATAAGAACCAGATTACATACACACACAGAAACCAGTTCAATGACAGAAAACCCTACTCACATACTCACACACACACTCACTCACGCAGAGAGAAACCAGTTCACATAAGCTATTTCAAACACAGAAACCCCTACTCACACACACACACTCACACACACACACACACAAACCAGTTCACACATAGAAAACCCTACTCACACACACACCAGGTCACACATACAAAACAGTTTTAACAAAGAAAGCCCCTACACACACACACACACACACACACACACACCAATTCAAACACGGAAAATCCTACTCACAAAATGTCATAGGAAGTAAAGGCGACCGGCATGATGCTGGCCACATCACCCAAAAAGTGCCGATCGATCTATAAAATGTAGGTCTAGCCCTGTATGCCCTGTATACCCACATGTGTGAAAAAAGGTCCTTTACTTTACTTTTACTAATCCCATTAAAACAATCAGTTCCAAAATCCAGTTCACAAACAGCAACCGACAAGCAAACATTCAAAAATCAGTCCACACACACATAAATTAGTTCCCACACAAAGACCAGTTCCCAAATGCAAGCCACTTCACATTTAAAAAAAAAAGCTAGGTCCTACACATAAGCCAGTTCTCACACAAAAGCCAATTCTTATACAAAAGCCAGTTCTCACACAAAAGCCAGTTTTCACACAAAAGCCAGTTCTCACACAAAAGCCAGTTCTCACACAAAAGCCAGTTTTCACACAAAAGCCAGTTCTCACACAAAAGCCAGTTCTCACACAAAAGCCAGTTCTCACACAAAAGCCAGTTCTCACACAAAAGCCAGTTCTCACACAAAAGCCAGTTCTCACACAAAAGCCAGTCCCACACAAATGTCAAGTTCCACACAGAAGCCAAGACACACTAACAAGCCATGACACGCATAGAAACTAAGACTCACACAAGAAATCAAGACCCACAAACAAGCCATGACCCACAAACAAGCCAAGACCCACAAACAAGCCAAGACCCACAAACAAGCCAAGACCCACAAACAAGCCAAGACTCACAAACAAGCCAAGACACACAAACAGGCCATGACACACAAACAGGCCATGACACACAAACAAGCCATGACACACAAACAAGCCATGACACACAAACAGGCCATGACACACAAACAAGCCAAGACTCACAAACAAGCCAAGACCCGCAAACAAGCCAAGACTCACAAACAAGCCATGACACACAAACAGGCCATGACACACAAACAAGCCATGACACACAAACAAGCCGTGACACACAAACAGGCCATGACACACAAACAAGCCAAGACTCACAAACAAGCCAAGATCCACAAACAAGCCAAGACATACAAACAAGCCACGACTCACACAAACAAGCCAAGATTCACACAAACAAGCCATGACTCACACAAACAAGCCAAGATTCACACAAACAAGCCAAAACTCCAAACAAGCCAAGACCGACAAACAAGCCAGTTCTCACACAAAAGGCAAGTCTCCAACAACGGTCAAGTCCCCCCCCCCCCCTCTTCCCCTCCCCCCCCCCAAAAAAAAAAAGTCAGACTCCACACAAAAGCCAAGTCCCAAACAACGGTCTAGTCCCACACAAGAGCCGGACTCCACACAAAAGCCAAAACACACACAGAAGCCAAGACATACAAACAAGCCAGCTTACATCGATGCCATGCAACAACGGCTGGTACTCGCGACAAATGAAGGAGCTTCCCGCGTAGCCCGACTCGATGTGGAACCAGATCTTGGGGAAGTGACCGGCTTCTTTGTCCACTGTCATGACAGCATCCCCACGTGGATATATGTGGATATAAGTTACAGGACGTTGCAGAACCAACCCCTGCATTTGTTTTGGCTGTTGTGGGTTTCCTAGTCAAGTTTACGTCCAGTAGTTTGCCACTGCTTTTTGGATGGTCGGCTTCTCGGTACCACTGTCGAAACCAGCGCAAGGCCCGCAGCTGGGATCGAACCCGGGACCCCAGGATTACAAAGCGCGTTCGTAACGCCTAAGCCACAGGCGCCGACATATGTGGACATAGTTGACATATTTTGATATGTGTGAGCATATGTGTATAGATGGGATTATGCGTGGGTAAATGTGTAGGCAAATTATCACAGACATCAGAAGGAGACAGTCATCATTTTTCGGTAATGTTATGAGAGGGAAAATGGAACATGTTGTGACCGCTGGCAAGATCTGTGGGAGGAGGGATATAGAAAGACAACGAAAGAAGATTCTTGACAGTCTTGTCGCATGGCATGGAGGTGTGTCGGCACACGAACTGATACATGCTGCTGGAGATTGCAGATTATGGAAAGGCATGATCGCCCACCTAGTCGGCAAGGCACCTGATGATGTGTAGGGCGAAAACAGTAATACAAGTCGCTCTCTTCATGGTACACATGAAAGTCTCTCTTTCTCCAGCCATTTCTCTAGCCATTTCTCCAGCCATTTATCTAGCCATTTCTCTAGCCATTTCTCTAGCGATTTCTCCAGCGATTTCTCCAGCCATTTTTCCAGCCATTTCTCTAGCGATTTCTCTAGCGATTTCTCCAGCCATTTTTCTAGCCATTTCTCCTGCCATTTCTCCAGCCATTTCTCCAGCCATTTCTCTAGCCATTTCTCTAGCCATTTCTCCAGCCATTTCTCCAACCATTTCTCCAGCTATTTTTCTAACCATTTCTCTAGCGATTTCTCCAGCCATTTCTCAAGCCATTTCTCTAGCCATTTCTCTAGCCATTTCTCCAGCCATTTCTCTAGCCATTTCTCCAGCCATTTCTCTAGCTATTTTCCCAGCCATTTATCTAGACATTTCTCCATCTATTTCTCCAGCTATTTATCCAGCCATTTCTCTAGCCATTCCTCTAGCCATTTTCCCAGCCATTTCTCCATCTATTTCTCCAGCTATTTATCCAGCCATTTCTCAAGCCATTTCTCTAGCTATTTCTCCAGCCATTTTCCCAGCCATTTCTCCAACCCTGTGTGCTTTAAAAACCAACGCATCCTCCATGTTCTGTATCCTCCTTCGCCTTGTTTTCCACAAACTGTACCATCTGTCCTTATTCACTCTAGACATGGCTAGCTTAAGCTTGATATCTCCAAAGTACCCCAGCTTTCGAGTGCGGATGCTATTTACGAGCCAGTTCTCCGTGATGTTCAGGTCATGTAGGATGTCGATGTTTTTTCTTCTTCTTGGTCCACAGTATTCTTAGAACATAGTTATATACTAGAAACAAACCCAAAGCTGTATCTTGTATTAGTGAAAAAGGAAGAGATAGTAATAAAGGATAATATAAAAGTCTACTAATTGAAGCTATCTCGACTTCAAATCTACAAGAGCTCTAACGATGTCGTGGCTAGTGGAAGCAAATCCACACTCAAGCTGCCTCAGTAAAAAGACAAAAAAAAATTTTGTTAGGCGGGTGCGAAGACCAGAGTCTTAACCTAGACAGGATATGTTCTGTATGAAGTCTAATCAGTAGTAACAGCTAAAACTAGGCACACTAACCACAATTCATAATCCGAAGAAATACACCTCGAACTATAATTATCACATTGAACATCTGTTAAATTTACTGAACACTAAACTAAACACTGCTTAATAAATAATAATACATTAACAACCAACGTCGTCTTTACACACACACACACACACACACACACACACACACACACACACTCACACACACACACGTATGTGCTAAGCACACCATCTAGCAAAGATGCAATTTCCTTATAGTGACAAAAGATTAAATATCCCCCAGCGATGATACACACTTATATTTTCTCTACACAGTTCACCTATTGAAGATGTACCACCGAAATCAAGCCAGACCCAGTCTGCAACATCTATGCTGCGCACCACGTGCGGCCGCACAACCACAAAGAGACTGACCGGGACACAAGACACACACAGAGAGCGAGCAACACAGTACAAGGCCGTTTTATAGACACCGTGATTCATTGAGCAGCCAGATATTTTCGCATGTGCTGTCACACTAAAATTCAAATCTTGTTGCAGCCCGGCTAAATTTATATTTACTGGTATTGGACATATTTAAAGGCTCTGTAGCCACAATGTTCACGTTTGGTTTGTGAAATTGTGAAGCTCGCTGATCTACTTTTTGTTCAGGTTTTAAATCTTTTTATGATATTGGGCTAGACATATATTTTATAGACTCATCTGTATATGTGTATGTAGTAATCATTTAGGGCTGGGTTGAACTAGGAGTCAAAATCCGGCTCTGACAGAACCAGAACCTTCCGATCCGCAGGCAAGCATGCAGTCGCTTTACCACGGCGGTTCCTGTGTTGACTGGTACCCACAACAAAGTCAGTGTGTTTGTTGCGTCAAGAACCAACATCGTAGTAACTGGGTCATTCCCATAGGCACCTATTCTTCATCTTCAGCAGCCAGAGTTCTTGTGCCGGAGGTATCAGTAGCACTCTGACTGTACGTCCATCTTGCCTTTCCTGTGAGTGTAGAATGTAGGCCAAATACCATCGACATTCCTTGTTGCATTACCCTGCCCAGAGTGATGCCAGACTATCGTCCCCCAAAGAGAGTATTTCATAGGGATCTCCAGCAAGAGAAGAGGACACAGGGTGGACAGAAAAAACGCTATAATGATACTCTAAACTGCTCTCCAATATTTTGGCATCAACTCAGCGACCTGTGAGGCAGCTGCTAAAGGCCACCATTGCCGCGATGATTCTTGTTCTAATTTCTGCAAGACATCTTGCATCAGATGTAATGCCTCTCATTTCTGAGGCCTGAAGCTGACTTTTATAAGCTGTTGTTATTGCCTGTGACTCACACCTGTAGCTCAGGACTGGCGTATAGGTAAAACAGTAAACAGCCGTTTCCATCCTCTTGATATCATCAACAGCAATTTTTAAAAGCGCTACTGGATGGCCTACATCCCTCAGGCATGGTGCATCAGCCTGCCAGGCAGTGGAGGTTGCACAGGCAGAGAAACGGAGGCAGACTAGAAAGACCCGTATCGCTAATAACACACTTACTGCGGCTTCCATCTGTTGTCCGCGCTGTTCAAGAACTTTCCAGGCTCATATTGGAACCTTCGTACTCGTAATCATTGATCATTACTACTTTGAATGAAAAGTGGTCTTTACTTTAATGAATGAACACTTACACAATGGCCCGATCTTGCCAATTTGATCGACAGAAGTACTTGCTATAGTTCCCACTGTTGCGACCACCTGGAGAGAGATCGACATGTTTAACGTCACAGGTATTAACAATAGTAGTGAAGAGCGTTGTTTCTGATGGAAGAGGCAGAGGCCGACCAAAGTGATGGTAAACAGGGAACATTAACGACACCTGGGCTTGGAAATGTACGATGCAGGGCAGATGGAGAAGGATGAAAAGTCTACTGGGTGTGGTGGGACCGACATTTTGTAAGGATCTTTCTACACAATAATAAGGCTGAGAGCGAGATTGATGATGATGATAAAAAGCTAAGAAGAACAAGGAATAGTAGTAGTAGTAGTAGTAGTAGTAGTAGTAGTAGTAGTAGTAGTAGTAGTAGTAGTAGTAGTAGTAGTAGTAGTAGTAGTAGTAGTAGTAGTAGTAGTAGTAGTAGTAGTAGTAGTAGTAGTAGTAGTAGTAGTAGTAGTAGTAGTAGTAGTAGTAGTACGTACTAGTAGTAGTAGTAGTAGTAGTAGTAGTAGTAGTAGTAGTAGTAGTAGTAGTAGTAGTAGTAGTAGTAGTAGTAGTAGTAGTAGTAGTAGTAGTAGTAGTAGTAAAAGAAAAAGAAGAAGATGATGAAGAATGAGAAGAAGAAGTAAAAGAAGGAGAAGAAGAAGAAGAAGAAGAAGAAGAAGAAGAAGAAGAAGAAGAAGAAGAAGAAGAAGAAGAAGAAGAAGAAGAAGAAGAAGAAAAAGAAGAAGAAGAAGAAGAAGAAGAAGAAGAAGAAGAAGAAGAAGAAGAAGAAGAAGAAGAAGAAGAAGAAGAAGAAGAAGAAGAAGAAGAAGAAGATGAGACCGTAGACTCGCCAGAAATAGGATGAGAACGTAGACTCACCAGAAAGATGAGACCGTAGACTCACCAGCAAGATGAGACCGTAGACTCACCAGAATAGGAAAGTAGCCTTTTACTCGGTCCTTCTCTATGGCAAATCTTAACGTGTCTGCATGCATGATGCCTTCCTTGTCCGTCCACAGTCTCTTGAGTCGAACGCCTGCGATCTCACACACACGCTCCAGGCTTGGATGTGCCTGTGTCAGATATTAAATAGTCTATAGTAGTCATTCTTGTTAACCCCCCCCCCCCCCCCCCTTTTTTTCCCCCCTAGAAACCATGACTTGTAAACCAATTAGCTCAGTACTATGGATATTGCAACCCTTCGGCCCTAGTTCCTTGTTAGATACAGTAAATCTGAGAAATATGCGGTTTATCTGCCTACAAGCCGGGCGTGAACCCGGACCACAAGGAGTTCTTAACCCGGTCACCGCCCCGCGGGTTATCCACGACCGGCTCCAGCTGACGGGCCGTGCTGCTGATGTCACAGGGTCGGGCTAACGATGCGTTGACGTTCTGAGAGCAACAAAATATAACTAGCAGTAATAACATTTTTATATTTTTATTGTTTGATTTTCTCCTTCTCTACGAGATCTATAGATTAGCGCTTTGACATTAAAAAATAGTATGACAATAGAAGAATGTGGATACAGGACAGTAAAGATGCAATGGCTATAAAAGCACCACAAATGAAGAACTTGCTAGAAAAAGAGAGACTTTCAGGCGTGCTTGACGAGAGCGAAGTTCTGTAGAAGGCACGCTAATTGACTGACTGACGTACATAAACAAAGAACTTCAAAAGGAGCACTTATTTTCATGGTGGCAAACAGGGCGAGTGGAAGCAGACTAGCTCTCTTACGAATTGTTTTACCTTCTTCTCGTTCACCAGCTGTAAACTCCGGCGGAAAGTTCTGGTAATTCGTTTTGTTCTATAACCTTAGTGTTACGTACGCATCCTTTTAAAAGATCTGACTCAATTGTATGCAGACTGTTTGTTCCTTGCCTCTCAGGCAGATTCACGCTGACTTCGAAGGAAGCTCCCAATTAGTCGACCTACGACATGCCTGTTAGGAAGGCAGTGGGTCTGTTCTTGTTTACCTCACAATGGGACCCCGGAACCACTCGGAGACCTAACAAATTTGAGGACTCGGGGCTGGATTTTGTTGTTGTTGTTGAGCTTGGGTGAAGTGCCTCAGTGTCTTAGCCTGCAGGTAATGAGGTACAATTTTATAGAAATCAGTGTGCATGCATGAGTGTGTGTTTGTGTGTGTGATTGTGTGTGGTTCACCTGCTCCGAGCAGTAGACCATGAACTTGTCCTGGAGCTGCCACTCAGTTTCCTCGGTGAAAGCAGAGCGGAGTGCCCCGAGCATCTTCCGTTTGGCCGCGGTGATGACCGTTAGCAGGGCTTCCGTGGTGCTGGTCTGCGGGGAGCAGAGCAACATGAAGTAGAGTACAGGTAAACAGGAGTGTCTGCAGTGTAGCTAGTATCAAAGAATTCTAAATGCAAATCAAACTATGGAGGCATTCACCTTTGAATCGTTTAATCTTCTTTACGCCTTAATCTGGGGACAACAAAATGAAAAAAAAAAAAAAGCATATATTGGAGAAATCCGTAAGAAATTAGCAGATCTTTTCCTTGAGTTGCTATAATCTTGATGAGCTAGCAGGAAAAGGAAAAACAACAAATAAGTAGGGTGAAGAGGGAAAAGAAACGTTGTTAGGACAATAAGTAGTCCCCTGCATAAGTAAAAAAAAAAAATCCAGAAAAGCAAGGGTTCTTCTGTTTCTGGACCATTAATGTTGCTCATAGCCCAGGCAGTAGAAATGTGTATAATGAGTTACACAACAACAACATAGGTGACAGCAAAAGGGGCAAATCTAGGTGAACAAACTACAAGTTCTGCCTTGAATCGAACAACTGAATATAACCATCACATTCAACATCTGTTTATTTTCCTGAACACAAAACTAACGTGCTTCAAAGATAACAATACTGCAGAGTAGAGTAGAGTAGAGTAGAGTAGAGTAGAGTAGAGTAGAGTAGAGTAGAGTAGAGTAGAGTAGAGTAGAGTAGAGTAGAGTAGAGTAGAGTAGAGTAGAGTAGAGTAGAGTAGAGTAGAGTAGAGTAGAGTAGAGTAGAGTAGAGTAGAGTAGAGTAGAG